AAAAAAAAAAAAAAAACATACCAAATACTTTCATATATTTATAGTTTCTTCTGATTACAAATATGATATATGATTTTTACAAAAATTCTAATATTTTGTGTAATGTAAAAAGTAAAAATCCCTTCTAATTCCAACTTCAGAGACAACTTCTTTTGATAGCTCACTTTATATGCCTCAAGATTTTGTTTTTCTGGAAATTCACATGTATTTCTTAAAGGCATTATTCCATAAAAACTGATTTTCTTTTTTTTTAATTATTTTTTATTTTTCAAGACGGAGTCTCACTCTGTTGCCCAGGCTGAAGTGCAGTGGCATGATCTCTCGTCTTACTGCAACCTCTGCCTCCCGAGTTCAAGCGATTGTCCTGCCTCAGCCTCCCCAGTAGCTGGGATTACAGGCATGCATCACCACACCTGGCTAATTTTTGTATCTTTAGTAGAGACGGAGTTTCACTGTATTGGCCAGGCTGGTCTTTAACTCCTGACCTCAAGTGATCCACCCACCTTGGCCTCCCAAAGTGCTGGGATTACAGGTGCATGCCACCATGCCTGGCTAATTTTTGTATTTTTAGTAAGAGACAGAGTTTCACCATGTTGGCCAGGCTGGTCTTGAACTCCTGACCTCAGGTGATCCACCCACCTTAGCCTCCCAAAGTGCTGGGATTAAGGCGTGAGCCACCACGCCGGGCCAAAACTGATTTTCACCTTACATTTTTCACTTAGGGCTATGACTCAGACATCAGAGTAGGTAGGAGGTATACCTTCTCCTTTTTAATGGCTGCACAGTCTCTCATGGTAGAGAGATACCAAAAGCCACCTACCAGTTTCCCTGTTCATGCACATTTGGGGCTTGAGAGGCTGTAAAATCAGGTTGAGACTATCTTTGAGAGCAGAGATTTGGAAGCAGCTATCCCAAGGGTGAGCACTTGTTGGGGCTTTGGCCAAGTGTACTGAACCTTTCTGAGCCTCTCGCCTGCCTGTGTCACAGGTGGGTGTGAAGCTCCAGGTTGGTAGGGCAGGTTGCTGTGCTTATTTAGTATAATTCAGTCACTGTTGTTGGGTCGGTGTTAATAAGCAGCCTCTAGTCTTGCTTTTTTTTTTAGATGGAGTCTCACTGTGTCACCCAGGCTGGAGTGTAGTGGCACAGTCTTGGCTAATTGCAACCTCCGCCTCCCGGGTTCAAGCAATTCTCCGGCCTCAGCCTCCTCAGTAGCTGGGATTACAGGCACCCACCAACACACCCCGCTAATTTTTTTTTTTTTTTTTTTTTTTTTTTTGAGACGGAGTCTCGCGCTGTCGCCCAGGCTGGAGTGCAGTGGCGCGATCTCGGCTCACTGCAACCTCCGCCTCCCGGGTTCAAGCAATTCTCCGGCCTCAGCCTCCTCAGTAGCTGGGATTACAGGCACCCACCAACACACCCAGCTAATTTTTTTTTTTTTTTTTTTTTTTTTTTGAGACGGAGTCTCGCGCTGTCGCCCAGGCTGGAGTGCAGTGGCGCGATCTCGGCTCACTGCAAGCTCCACCTCCCGGGTTCACGCCATTCTCCTGCCTCAGCCTCCTGAGTAGCTGGGATTACAGGCGCCCGCCACCACGCCCGGCTAATTTTTTGTATTTTTAGTAGAGACGGGGTTTCACTGTGGTCTCGATCTCCTGACCTTGTGATCCGCCCGCCTCGGCCTCCCAAAGTGCTGGGATTACAGGCTTGAGCCACCGTGCCCGGCCGACACCCAGCTAATTTTAGTAGAGACAGGGTTTTGCCACATTGCCCATGCTGATCTCAAACTCCCAACCTCAAGTGATCCTCCCGCCTTGGCTTCCCAAAGTGTTGGGTGGCATCAGCCACCATGCCCTGCCCAGTCTTGCTTTATGATAGGGCCCAGGCGGGAATGTCTTGCATGCGTGAGGATTTCATGCGTGTTTTTGCCCTGCCCCTGGTCCACCCAGGGATTTTAAGTCCCTGAGCCTGGCAGAGGGCAGCAAAGGCTTGTTGTCTGTCCTTACACAGGTGCAGCCCATCCAGCCCACACCAACCGTGCCCCAGCCTGCTGTGGTCATCGCCAGCCCAGCTCCAGCAGCCAAGCCATCTGCCTCTGCTCCTATCCCAATTACCTGCTCAGAGACCCCCACCGTCAGCCAGTTGGTGTCCAGTAAGTGGCTCCTGGAGGAGTAGTGTGGAGAAGGGGGGAGGCATTTATTTGGGCATCCAACCTCTTCAGATGCTGCTTTCCTTGATAAACATCCTAGGGTCCAAAGGGGAAGGGCAGAGGCCCAATATGAGGGGCTGGCTTTTTCATTCCCATTCCTGTGGAGGTGGAGTTTGGGCATGATGACAGTGGAGGCTGTTGAGCTGGCTGGCTGGCTGCTTTTCAGAGAGGCCGAGCCATGGGCTGTCTCTGCTATGGTCTCTCACCCAGTATTTGAGGAATGTGGGTAACCAGCAAGTGTGTTTGGGGCCAAGCCTAAGGCAAGTGGGGGAGGTTGAGCAGTTAGAGCCGGAAGAACTTGAAAATAGTTCCTTACCCCCGGACAGGTTAGTTTAGGCCCCTTTTCTTCAAGTCTTGCTTGTCTCGGGGACAAAGGTGATAAAGGTCTTGAAGGTGCGTGAGCCTTTTCCCAGGTGTCCTCACCTCTCACTACTGCGTGAGTAGTGAGAGATAAGCAGGGATGGTTCCCATGTTACACACTCATCCCTGCTCCCTCCCTCTGGCCTAGAGCCACATACTCCAAGTCTGGATGAGGATGGGATCAACTTAGAAGAGATCCGGGAGTTTGCCAAGAACTTTAAGATCCGGCGGCTCTCCCTGGGCCTTACACAGACCCAGGTGGGTCAGGCTCTGACTGCAACGGAAGGTCCAGCCTACAGCCAGTCAGCCATCTGCCGGTGAGTAAGGCTGCCCTAGACAGGATCAGGGCCTGCTCAGCTGCCTGGTGCCACCGGGCACTCATGGGGACCTGGGCACTGGCCCCATTTCCATATGCCCCCTTGCTCCAGCCTTTTTTCAGATAAGGAAGACCGTCTTAAGGGTAGATGTGAACACCTGGGTAGTCAAAGACTGACCCTGTCCTTCTGAGGCCCTCTGAAGTTTATCCTCTAATCCTGGGCATTAATATGGGTCTTCTTTGAGGAACCCAAGACCCTAATGCACCGAGGAATTCTAGCAGGAAAGGAGTACAGCTTATAAAATTAGTCACCAAAGTGGGAACTTCCATTCTATCTTGGCCCTTAACTGTAACCTACCATGCCTCATCATGCTCCCGTCTCCCTTCTTACAAGGCATGACTATAAAGTAACATAGCTGAGTTTTGTGTAAGCAGCCTACAAACTGGTTTTGGTGCCAGGAGGGATAGAGTTTCAAACAAGAATAAGCGCATGACTCAGGGATGGCCGAAAGGTTTCATCTGCCTGCCAGCTCCATAGGTCAGGCTAGAGTGACCTTTAGAGTGCCTTCAGCATCCTGTGGATAATCCTGTCGCCACATCCAGCTCAGCCAGAAAGAGCAGCCTGACTTGTCAGTGATGCTGCTATGGGAGTGTGACTGGAGGCCTCCCAAGGTGACTCCTCAAAGAACTTCATTCATTTAGGGGAACGTTCTAGAATGGTTGTTCGTAAGGCAGTTGCACTATTATTATTCCACTACTGACTGAGCCGAGGCCATGGGAATGGTCTCCCTGTTAGGACCGGGCACATCAGAGGGTCTGAGGAGTCTGGACTTGGCCAAGCTAGAGGGCTCGTGGTGGAGGCGGTGAGGGGAGCACTGGGTACATTCTCACCAGCCCCTAGAGGAACGGCCCCTTGAGGATGGAGCCTGCACCTAGGTGCAGGGTGTGCCAAAGAGACCAAGATGCTCTCACTCCCTCTTCCTGGGTATGGGTTGCCCATAGGTTCGAGAAGCTGGACATCACACCCAAGAGTGCCCAGAAGCTGAAGCCGGTGCTGGAAAAGTGGCTGAACGAAGCTGAGCTGCGGAACCAGGAAGGCCAGCAGAACCTGATGGAGTTTGTGGGAGGCGAGCCCTCCAAGAAACGCAAACGCCGCACCTCCTTCACCCCCCAGGCCATAGAGGCTCTCAATGCCTATTTTGAGAAGAACCCACTGCCCACAGGCCAGGAGATCACTGAAATTGCTAAAGAGCTCAACTATGACCGTGAGGTCGTGCGGGTCTGGTTCTGCAATCGGCGCCAGACGCTCAAGAACACCAGCAAGCTGAATGTCTTTCAGATCCCTTAGGGCTCAGCCCCTGGCCCTGTGTTCTAGCACTTTGTCTGTTTCCCTTGGCACCCGGCTGCAGCCACTGCCATGACAGCCACGTGCAGCTGTGCTCACCCCAGGTCATGAGACTCCACCGTGTGCATGTGCATCAATGTCCCTCTTCTCCCACACATCTCACAACATGGGGAGGCCAGAGGGGGTCACACGAGAGCTCCAGGCTCTGGGCTGGTCGCTCTGAAGAAGAAGATTTGTGATGTCACTTAGAGAAGCACCTTGCCAGCATGGTTTCTGAAGGGTGAATTCTGGCGGGGAACCAGAAACTCCCTGTCTTTGGGGCAGGGCTGTAGCAGCTCCTAAGGACCACTGGCCATTAGCACTTGCTTTTGATGGCGTTCTCTTTCCACCTTCTCTTCTCCTTTGCTCCTCTGTGTTAGTGTGGCAGGTATGACAACTCATCCAGTGGAACCACAGCCTCACACTGCCCTTCCGCCCCCACACTTTGCCTGCAGGCGCACCGAAAGGACCCAGGAGATAAAATTCAAAAAAGTGTGATGTGCTGCTCAGAAGGTCAGACTCAAATGTCTGCCCTGACCTCCAGGTCAGAAGGTTCTCAAACCCCTGGGGCTGGAACATGGGATCTCCTCTCCCACCTCTTCCTGGTTCCTTTGTGGGGAAAATTGCACTAAAACAGAACCTTTTCTTAATCCACGTTGGAAGGAAGAAACAGTGAACTCTACCTGTCGTGGAGTTGTCCTGGGTCTGCAGAAGATTGGGAGTTTAGAAAATAGGGCGGTTCTTTCAGATTTTAATCTAATCTCTGTCAGTGGCCATCCCTCCCACAAAAAAATGTGGGTTAAGAAAACGTGCAGACTGGAAAATCCCATTGCCCAAACAAACGGGCAACACTGGAGAAAAATAAGGAAAGGGATGCTGACTTTCTCTTTCTTTCTCTTGTCCTCACACCCATTCCCAACCCAATACTGGGGCTTTCTTAAAAGGAGCAAATTAAACAATAAACCAGACAGCAAGGCCCTGGGGGAAAGGACAACATCCTGAAATAAATGATGGAGCCCGGGAAGGTCTCTTGTGGAAGCTGACTTAACTCTAATTTTCTTTGTAACTTTAAGCCTTGGATACCGGAGGAGAAATCTCATTTTGTCGAGTCTCAGACCGTGTCTATGTGTAAGCAATCCCCCCAGTGTCCTCCGAGCCAAGAACACCCCCAGATCAGGTTGGGTTTTGCCTCTAGACAGGGTAGCTATGGTACCTTGGGGGTTAGCTCTCATCCAAGCTATTAAGTGAGTTTCCAGCCTCACTGTGGCTGGAAAGCCCCTAAAATTCAGTATGTAACTCCAGGAAGTCAGGAGAGAACAGAGATTTGCCTAGATGACCACAGGCTTGTGGTGTAGACAGTCCCTAAAGGGCCTCAAGTCACGGGGGTCAACCACCCCTCTCTTCAGTACTCGTATCCTTACAGAGGCTGGTCTCCAACAGCTGCCTCCATTGGACCTCCCATGATCCACCCTGAGGGAGTGACCATCAGGTGGAGACACATCACCACCTCTGTCAGTCACTGGTGCAGAGCCATCTCCTAGCCTAGCTGCTTCTGGTATGCTGTTTCCTTTCCCACTTCCTGTTGGTCCCTCCCAGGCCCTGCAATGCCAGCGTGGCCACCCTCTTGGTAGCCTGGCCAGTGAGAGGAGGACAGTTGTGTGCTGAATTAGCATACGCATGTGCAGCATGCGTGCGTGCGCGCACACACACACACGCCCTGCTGCATTTGGACAAACCATGCCTGCCAGATTGTGGCAGAGGTGAGGAAGCAGGTGGGCAGCTTGCCTGACCCAGCTTCCGGGAAGAGCGTGTCTCCAACAGAGAGGCTCCACACTCCAGTTCAGGGTTATTGACCTGCCTCAGTAAGATGACAGACTCATTTGGGAGGGGTGTTGCAAACAAGTTTTCCGTGAGAATAGTTAAGTTCCAGAGCTTGTAAAGGATTCAGTGACTTACACTTAGTAAATTAGGCCAGGTACGGTGGCTCACGCCTGTAATTCCAACACTTTGGGAGGCTGAGGTGGGCAGATCATTTGAGGTCAGGAGTTTGAGACCAGCCTGACCAACATGGTGAAACCCTGTCTCTACTAAAAATACAAAAATTAGTCAGGTGTAGTGGCACACACCTGTAATCCCAGCTACTTGGGAGGCTGAAGCAGGAGAATTGCTTGAACCCGGGAGGTTGCAATGAGCTGAGATCACGTTGCTTCACTCCAGCCTGGGTGACAGAGCAAGACTCTGTCTCAAACAAAAAAACCTATAGCGATGCAGATTTTCATGCTCAGACGCTTGCATTCAGGTATGCTTTCTTTTTTGAGAGAGACAAATGGGTCACAGCTGGCACCCTGGGAATAGCACATAATCCAGGGTGTGTCTGTGGTGGTGGACGTGCAGGAGGGCACCATCTGTCCTGTGTCATGATGGGAAAACAATCATGAACCACTGGTCTAAATTAGGCCTGGCCATGCTTTCTCAGCCCCTCCCTCATTTAAATCTGTCTTCCCAAGGCTGAGCTAGAACTAAACCATTTCTCCTCTGCTGGTCATTCGGAGGAACAATACCAGGGGTGAGAGGTTTGCAGGCTGAATTCCCCAGGCATGGGGATGCAGGGTGTCCCTGAAGTATGCCCAAAGCAGAGCTCGCTGGCCTATGATCTCTGCCCTTGCTCCCGCAGTGTAAGACCCCCAGGAAGCAACTGGGGCCTGAACCTCTCACCTAGGAGGTGGGTTTATTTTATTTCTTGTTAGCATCAGGCTCTGAAAGGAGACGGTGTACATTTCGTTTTGAAAACATCTTCTGGACTGAAGCCTGAGTTTAGTGTCGTCTTTACTATGGAAAGAGAGGAGAATGGACAGAAATGGTTTAACGGTGTGGGGTTTTGTTTGTTTTGTTTTAAATGGAAGAAAGACCAAAACTTTCCTGGTGAATCAGCTAGGGCCTTTGACCCTGCACTAACCATTGCATTTTATCCAGGTAAAGTCCAGGGAAAGAACTCAGCCAAATGGACTAAGGAACACACGAGTTTGGAATTCGAGACCCTGACATTTTTGTGTTCTTGGAAATCCAGTTACCTTCCCATGCCCAGATTTCCTTCCTGCCTCATGGACCAGGCTCTAACACTGAGGTCCTCACTGTTCCCAACACAGGCAAAGCTTCCTGAGGGCTGGAGCGGGGAACGGGAGAGGAGAATGGGGAAGAAGCATTTGATGTAGTTGTGTGGAATAAACAGTATTTTTTTCTTTTGTACTGGTCTGTTTGTTTCCTGTTCACTCCTCGGGATAGAGAGATTAGTGAACCAGTGTTAGAGGACAGGGAAATGACAGCCTTTGCTGTCAGCTTGCAGCCTGGAAAATCCCATTGCCAGAAAGCAGGGGTCAGTACTCCAGATTCCCACTTCAGAAGTCCCTGCTCGGATCCTCCTGCCACCACGACCCTCCCTATAGGGCACAGGGCCTCCTTTTAGACCACACTTCTTATACCTAGGGCCCCAGAATTCTCTGCCAAGCCCACTTCCTGGACCCCTCCTCTCTGGGTTCTGGGAGCTGTGCCGCTGGTGTGCATACTTGTAGGTCTAAGAGGTGGCTGCCTTAGTCTGCTCTGGTTGCTACAACAAAGTACCTTAGACTCAGTGGCTTACAGACAAGAGAAATTTATTGCTCACACTTTTGGAGACTGGAAAGTCCAAGATCAAGGTCAAGATCAAGGTCGATGTCTGATGAGAGCCCTCTTCCTCATAGACAGGTGTCTTTTCACTGTACCCTCACAAGGTGGAAGGGCAAGAAAGCTCCCTTGGCCTCTTTTATAAGGGAGCTAATCCCTCTATTCTTACTTGACTTATTGCACCCCAAAAGGCCCCACCTTAATATAGTCAGCCCTCCATATCCCTGGGGTCTGCGTCCTCAAATACAACCTCAGATGGAAAATACCATATCCAAAACAACAACAGGCTGGGCACGGTGGCTCATGCCTGTAATCCCAGCATTCTGGGAGGCCAAGGTGGGCAGATTGCCTGAGCTCAGGAGTTCGCAACCAGCTTGGGCAACAGGGTGAAACCCTGTCTCTACTAAAAATACAAAAATTAATCAGGTGTGGTGGTACATGCCTGTAATCCCAGCTATTTGGGAGGCTGGAGGCACAAGAATTGCTTGAACCCAGGAGATGGAGGTTGCAGTGAGCCAAGATCATACCACTGCACTCCAGCCTGGGTAACAGAGCAAGACTCTGCCTCCAAACAAACAACCCAACCCCCCCAATACAACAATAAAAAACAATACAAACAAAAAATGTCAATATAGCATAACAACTATTTACATAGCATCTACATTATATTAGTAGGTATTATAAGTAACCTAGAGATAATCTTATGCAAGAGGATGTGCACAGAAGGTTATGTGCAAATAGTACACTGTTTTTGGTGGGTTTTGCTTTGTTTTTTGAGACCGAAAACAAAAAACAAAGGCCCAGGCTGGAGTGCAGTGGTGCGATCACAGCTCACTCGATTTCCCTGGCTCAAGTGATCCTCCCACCTCAGCCTCCTGAATGGCTAGGACTACAGGCATGTGCCACCACACCTGGCTAATTTTTTTATTTTTATTTTTAGAGATGGGGTCTCACTATGTTGCCCAGGCTGGAGTATACCATTTTATATGAGAGACTTGAGCACCTGTGGATTTCAGTATCCTCAGGCATCCTGAAACCAATCCCCGACAGATATGGAAGGACAACTATACTATCACATTGGGGATTAAGTTTCAATATAGGAATTTTTGGGAAACACAAACATTCAGCCCAGCCGTGGCCAAAGGGCAGCTGTTTGCCAGACAGTAGGGTGACAGAGCTTGGATGTGTAGACTAGGGTGTCTACACATGTACGTCGGGCTCTTTGCAGTGCAAGATGGGGAGAGGGAAGAGAAGGCAGTCAATGGGCTGAGGGCCAGAACTGGGGCACATTCTAGCATGGGACTTCCAGGAGTTCTAAATCCAAACCTGGTCTCCCAAGTCACTATAAAGGTATACTTATCAGGATAGGAAGCCAGAACATTAATAGTTAGTTTGACTTATACTTTATAAAAAGGTGACTATATGGTAAGCAAGACTTTGTATTATTCCTCAGGACTGTCACCTGAGCTTAGAACGGAGAGCACACCTGTCGTTAGAGTCTCTCTTGGCTTGTCTACCTCCTAGGAGCAGGGTTCATGACATCTCCGTCTCAGTTCCCTCTCCCCTGACACTTAGCTGGTATTGATGAGGTCTGGGCTACCTAATCTAAACTGGTGAGAGCAGCCGGGCGCGGTGGCTCATGCCTGTAAGCCCAGCACTTTGGGAGGCCAAGGCGGGCTTCACCTGAGGTCAGGAGTTTGAGACCAGCCTGGCCAACATGGTGAAACCCCATCTCTACTAAAAATACAAAAATTGACCAGGCATGGGGGCACATGCCTGTAATCCCAGCTACTTGGGTAGCTGAGGCATGAGAAGCGATTGAGCCTGAGAGGCAGAGGCTATAGCGAGCCGAGATTGAGCCACTGCACTCCAGCCTGGATGACAGAGTAAGACTCTGTCTCAAAAACAAATAAATAAAAATAAAAACAAATAAGTAAAAATAAAATAAACTGGTGAGAGCAAGCAAGACATCACCTTTGATTCTACCAAACCAACATTCCTGAGCCGGGCACTGTGCTGGATTCTGGACCATGCCCCACCTCTCCACCCCTACCCAGGGAGATAATGAATGTCTAAGCCTCTAATGCAAAGCTTAGAGATCAGAGGAGCTTTATGGTACTCTGAAATAACAGGGCAAAAATTCAGACAGAAGCCAGCACTTACCTTTTGCATAGATCTTACATAGATATTACATATATCTTATGTAGATATCAGCTATTCACACTGGGCTGTGACTCCTCATTACACAGGCTAGGGGCATAGAGTAGGTGCTTGATAAGTGGCAGATGATTGACTGAATGCATTTCATACACTCTCCTTCATGGAAATAATGACAGCTGAGTCCCTGATTTCAGGTTCCTGGGAGAAAGCAGGACTATGAGATTCAGCTTAGCTATGCTGGGTTTGGTGTGTGAAATGTGAGAGTGAATAGAATCCGGGCAGCAGCTGGCTGTGACCTGAGAGAGACAGCTCCCAGCAGCTCCCACCAGGAAAGTCAGTTGGAGCTGATAGCTCTGGCTCAGACCAGTTGAGGGTGGCTCTTGGCCGTTGGCCCAGGAAGGCTTTAGAGGATGAAGGGACTGCAGTCTTTATTCCCAGGCCTGGGAAGTCTATTGTGTTGTGGATGACTCTGACAGGGGAACTGATGTTTTATGGATATGGGCTGGTTTCTGGACTAGAGAAGAGAGGAGAAGAGCCTGAGGTGAAATGGTGGGGCTGTGAAAACTTCTGATTTCCTTTCCTTTCAACTGCAGGGTCCTTCAGAGAAGCCACACTAGGCCTCACAGGTTGGTGGCAGGAAGAGGTGAAGAGTTAAAGCCAGATGGTCAGTCCCCAAAAAAGCCTGCCTGGGAAATGGTTTCCTCCTGTACCTGGAAGAAAATGTTCACTGATTAACCGGGGAACCCAATGACATTGACTGACTTGAGTACTTGAGTGAAAAGGGAAGGCTAGGGGATAAATGGGTACCGACCCAAGGAATGCAAATCCTCAAGCCTCTGAGAGAACTGATTTGTCTTAAGAGATAGGCAAGACAGCTGCTAGGGTGCCCTCCTTGCCAATAACAATAATAGCTAACCTTTACTGATCACTAGTCAAAGTGCAGGGTTCATGACATCTCCCTCTCAGGTCCCTCTCCCCTGACACTCAGTTGGTATTGATGAGGTCTGGGCTACCTAATCTAAACTGGTGAGAGCAGTTTAGACTTGTAAGCACTTAACATGCACCATCTCAGTTAATTCTCACAATAATTCTATAAAGTAAGAAATATTATATCCACTTTGCAGATAGGGAATTGAGGTACATGGAGCATGAGGAATATACTCAGGGCTGCTTTGTGAACAGCAAAACTAGGATTTGAACCCAGGTAGGCTGTCTGTAAAGCTTTTGTGCTTAACTTTACCTCATACAGGCTCTGAGAGGTGGGTGGGACCTTGAGGTTGCTGTGTGTTTGTGTGCTCTGATTTTTTTTTTTTTTTTTTGAGACAGAGTCTCACACTGTCACTCAGGCTGGAGTGCAGTGGTGCAATCTCGGCTCACTACAACCTCTGCCTCCCAGGTTTGAATGATTCTCCTGCCTCAATCTCCCAAGTAGCTGGGATTACAGGTGCCTACAACCACACCCAGCTAATTTTTTGTATTTTCGGTAGAGATGGGGTTTCGCTATGTTGGCCAGGCTGGTCTCAAATTCCTGACCTCGAGATCTGTCTGCCTGGGCCTCCCAAAGTGCTGGCAATACAGGCATGAACCACTGCACCCAGACTGAGCTTTTAGGTAGAGTTTCCACATGTTTCCACCTACCAGGGTAGACCCTGCTATGTCCCATCTTGATGGTATCCAGTTTTAGGATCCAATCTTGAGAAGTGAACCCTCCATGATGAGCCTTAACTTCAACAATCCAGAACACTGAATTTGGAGCTCCGTGCCACAGGTACTCTGATTTATTGTGTGTCATAGAAGCCAGATTTTTATTGCGGGATGAATTTATGGGTACAAAAATTTGATCTATTGATAGGTGTTGCTGGATTTCTTTCTTCTCCTTTGAAAAGGAGTTTCGCTCTTGTTGCCCAGGCTGGAGTGCAATGGCAGTCTTGGCTCATTGCAACCTCCACCTCCCAGGTTCAAGAGATTCCCCTCTCTCAGCCTCCCAAGTAGCTGGGATTACAGATGCATGCCACCAGGCCCAGCTAATTTTTGTATTTTTAGTAGAGATGTGGTTTCACCATGTTGACCCGGCTGGTCTCGAACTCTTGACCTCAGGTGATCCACCTGCCTCTGCCTCCCAAAGTGCTGGGATTACAGGCGTGAAACACCTTGCCCAGCCCAGTGTTGCTGGATTTCTAAGGGAACATCTAGTGGTCTTTTCTTGGAGGCAGAGCCTTCTTGGCTGCTCCTGGAATCTCTCCCATCCTGGCACTCCAATTTCACTCTTAGTTATGTTGGGGAGGGGAGAGTATGGGAAAAGTTCACTTTCCCAGTCGCAGAATTCTAGGAGTAAACAGTGTGTAAAGACTTCTTTCCCAAGGGGGAACTGGGGTCAACGGCATAATTCTCCAGGCTGACCTGCACTCCACTTGGGAGGGGCTGAG